ATATTGAAAGACATGTATATAAATGAATGAAAAGGAATATATACAAATGAAAAGGCATCAACTGGCTTTTATCCTCTCAAAACAGCAAAGTTTTTTTCCTCAACCTCTTTAAATATGAAAAATATGTTCATCAATGCCACCAATTGAGTAATAGCCCTATTTTAAGATGCTGCCATCAAATCACAAATAATTAGTGTGCAGCTCAGAAATTTGAAGTGAAAAATAGGAATTCTTCCATTTTTGCAAAGTAATCATTAATATTATGGGATCATTTATTTAATCAGGATATTAACATCATAGATCAACAGTTATTTATATGGTAATGGCATCAGAAAACTGAAAATTGTATTAAAAGCACTGATTTAGTCACATCTTAATAGGGAGAACATTATAATGAAAAAATATTCTGGCAGAAGCATTTTTAAAGTTTAAGTTTTTTTTTGGAAAATCTACTTGAAAGTATTTAGCTTCACTTTTGAAAGATATTTCATAGGCATTTTTATTTAATTTATTTTATTCAAGAGCCATAATCTAACAGAGTATGCTAGATAACTATATAAAACTGAATGTATAGTGGACCTCGCACTGAGAAATATTTCTGTGTTGGAAAATAAAATTAGCATCTATCTACATGCAGGAGCTGTTGCAGGAGAGCCCAAAGGAGGAGAAAGTTGACTATGGCTCACCATGAAAGAGGTTGTATATTTTTGGACAACTCAGAAATAAAGTTCATCAGATAGACAAAATTTGAAATGGGGCTTAATGTATTCCCAGGGTTTTTTCCAGATACAAATGAATATAATTGCTGAAGAAATATTTCATTAAGAAATATTTTCATCAGTGCATAGATTTACAGTTCCCTCAGTGGTGTCCATATGTTTTTCTAGAAGCAGAATTTTTCCTTTAAATGAATCTTCCTAATATGTCCATTGAATAAAACCAGTTGAGAAGTATGAAACTTTAGAGGCCTGACTTTTTATCTTCTTTTCTGTCACCCTTTGTTCCCACTAATTCCTTCTAGTGACATGCATGGACATGTGCTGTAAGGTCAGGCAGCATATGCTGCCTTATCATCTTTGGAACACATAGCAACTATTACTTTAACTGCAGAAATTACTGAAAATATAGCTGAAAGTATTCCTGAGAGGATAGAAGTGTGTATTTGATGGAGCCTGTAGTTTAGGATTTATCAAGGTGGAGGAAGAGATAACTACACCAGAGGATTATTGTTGGAATATATAGAAAGTCATGAATTTTTTACATTAGCCGAAGAAAAATTTTTAAAATCAGCAATATTGATGTAGCACATAAAATAAGTATAGGTAGGGGTGATGGAAATTATGACGGACATGGTAATTTGGGACATCAAAGTCAGAATGCCAGACCTATTTTTCTGTTTGTTTAGGTTGTGTCTTATACAACCAAGGAGTTTTCATTTACAGCTGGCCATGAGTGTAAACTGAACACCTCTGAAAAATGACATGATGAAGAATTGTTGGATTATTTTCTAGCCTGAGAATGATGTGATTGTTGGTGAATTAAAAAAAATCTTGCTGTGGTTCATGAAACAACTCAAATTCCAGAAATTTGAACAAAAATCAATGAAACTTTATGGTCACTTAGGGGAATATATTAGGTTCGTAATTTGCATAAGAGGTGAAGAACAAACTAAAAATGACCAATACTTTTTTTCTCTGTGAATAGAATTGTGCTTTGATAGATATAGAAAAGTCTTTTTTATCCTTATTGTGACAGGGTAAAAATTAGAATTAGCTCCCTGTTTAAGATTTCAATTACTAAAATTAATTTTATCATATGAAATTCATAACTGGCTTTAATTCTTCTTCTAACACTTTTGTTTTGGGTTTTATTCTCTTTCAGGCTGAAGTCATTGATGTGAATTATGGAACTGCAGATGATTTAAAAAGGATTAAAAAAATAAAAAATACAACAAATCACATTGCACTCCTAAAATTAGGAAAATTACCACTACTTTATAAGGTTGGTCCAATGTTGTAAGGGTGAATAATTTTCTTTATTTTGTTGGACATTCATGATGTTTTTGAGAATGGATTGTGCATGTGAGAGAGAGAAAGGGGAAAGAGAAAGAGACAGAGAGAGAAAGAGGAGAGAAGAAATCTTTCAACAAGTAAGTGGATGTTCTTATTCCAGAAGACATCCGATACCTCAAGCAGGTATTAGTGAGTCTGTGCCACCTTGATAAACTTAGCATATTCTCTATAATAGCATCTCTCTGAAACACTATGGATGAGAACCGCATGTCGTTTTCTTTTGACCTGTATGAAACTTCTATTATCAAAACTGATTAACTGCCATGTGCTTTCTGCTACATAAGGAACTGGCTGATTTATACTCTGTAGTGATTGATTTTGCCAACTATATAACACTGCAGTTACTTCCTGTGCTTCAGAATTAAATTAAGATATAATAGGATAAAGAGAGGCAAGAATTTTGATTTATTCTATTTAAATAGAAGTTTATTAACACTCATCCACTAGATGCATTTCCAAAATTAGAGCAGCTCAATGTACGTATCTGATAATGAACCACCACAATAGACAGACACTGCTGCTCATTATTCATTTTTTTTCTATTTAAAAAGAAAATGGTCAGTGTAATTATGTCATTGGGTTCCCTGTTTTTGAAGATAAGTTGTATCTTTTTTTCTCACCTAATATTGAAATAGCTCTGCTAATTCCCAGGACCAAAAATATTTCCAAAAATCTTTTGGCATATTTTATTAGGAAAGAAAAAAAAGAAAGCAAAGATCATCATGTATTTATTTCATTATTTATCAAATATGTGCTTTTACTTAATTATGAAGAGTGTCTAATAGTAGATAAGTAGTCAGACTTTTATGATATCAAAAATATATTACTCAGTGATATTGTTTATTGTATACATTTTCAAGATGTACTAAGTGTTCTGAATTAATCAATTTTTGCCTCAGCAACTCTGGTCAGTTAATGTATTTACAGAAGAAACACAATGATGTTCAGTGATGTAACAAAATATTAGCAAATATATACATATTCTATGCAGTAATGAAGGATATGCTGTATTTATCCTATATGATCATTAAAAAATATTTAATGATCTGAAAATCCTAAGCCAAACAAGTAAGTTCAAATGTAACATTTATAATTATACTTTTATAGCTATCAGCATTAGTCATTGTCTCTCATTGTTAATGAAGGCTGAGATAACTAAGGTAGGAAACAGGTGTGAGTGGCTCAAAGACAAACACTTTAAGGTGTGTGTGGGTGTGTGGTGTTGTTCATGTTCTTGTTGTCTTTTTTGTAATAAATCAGGATAGATAATTGAGATGCAAAGTTAAAATTTTAGATCATAGTCCAAGATAAAGAATAAGCTAAAGATAGAAATTGTCTACCAACCATCACTATGGCAAAGGCAATAATGTAAAACGGGTTAGAATATTGTTAAGCCCCTTCTGCATACTTAGAGAGATCTACTCCTGTGACCGAGACTTCATTGGGATCACATGGAGGGGCTTAGTATTTGTGTGCTGCAGCAAAGAGGACATGCTATACTAATCACTTATTCCAAGAGGAACCAAAAGGTAGGAGATAGGCTCACTAAGCAGCCAAAATAGGAGCATGAAAGGGGTCTATGTTGAGACTGGTAATAAAAAGTGTGCATGTATTTCTGACAGTCTAAACACAGGTGCCAAGATAGAAAGCTAGCGCCATTTGTTTTCCCTTCTGCGCCAGAGTTGTTACATAGGGTGATGATAGCAAAGTCAAGGACAACCAGATTAGAATTTGTTTCCAGATCAAAGAAACAGTGGGGGCTGCTTCAGTAAACTCAGTGCCCATGAGATCCAAAGGCAGCTTTTAGCATCTGTAAGCCCCAGAAGATGTAAAGCTTCATTAGAACAATGGAGTCAGAAAATTCCTACTTGGGGACCTTCTAATACATAAACTTTCTCTAACACACCAGTGAGGTAGAGGTATAGTTGGTATAAGATAAAGCAGACAGTGCACCTCTGAATAGGTGGAGGGGTTTGATGAAGAAATTTTAAATCAAAGGTAGAATTTTTGATAATAATATGAGACTAGGCATCTTAATGACTTGACTGGTGAATCTAATTGATTATAGCACATCCTATTACCAAAACCAAGAGTAATGGGGCAGTCCATATTTTTCTCGAGATGTTTGAATCAAAATAGTCTCATCTGGACACATTTAAAAGGACAGTAGGAAAGAAATTAACATTGCTCTGTGCTGATTATATGAATCCTTTTTATTCACCTACTAGCTACTAGAATGTATGTGTGGTAAGATTGAATATATAACTGCTTAGGTGGAACTATGAATGAATGATTTATACCTCTTAACTGAACATATCTGAATTAATAAAATGTTCCATAATGATTATGCATATTATGTATACCACAAAAATGCCTTTAAAAATTCAAACTAAAATAAGATGAAATATTTTTCTAATAGTGCATCTATGCCAAGTACTCCAAATCCTAACCAATATATCATAGCATGAAACCAAGCAACAATCTTTGTATTTATTTCAGAGAATATTTGCCTTGTGAAACTGTGAATGTTTCTATTTAGAGAATTAGTACTTTATCCAGAATAGGACACACTTATGAAGAACGGTGTGTCATTTTTCCCTGATCATTTTCCTTAAAAACTTGTAAAATGATTTAACAAAGGATGCCGTACAAAATCTCTCTATATGTAGAGCTCTTCAAAAAACCTAACATTACCTTGCAACCAGAAGAGACAGAGAATCCTCTCTTTAACCTTTTAAGTTCCATTTCATTCTTGCCATCTCTGCTTTATGTGGATTGTGCCAGAGTCTTTGGGGGAACTCATTAATACTAAGTCTACTACCGCACATGCATGTAAGAAAGAGAAATGAAAACGTGGATGAGGTGTGATTATACAGCATAATTACTGCTCAACTGTTTCACCTGTCTATCAAATACATTTGTAAGGATAGATTTTAGAAGTGAGATACTACAACTGACTTTTCAAAAGGCAGGGGCCTGACTGATTTCTTTGTAGAACACAATGGTTAATCATGATTCTAAATTAACATTTGATTTGGGAACATGTTGCTGAATGAGGAAAGAGAAACATTCATCTTATTTTAGCTGTGTCACGGGGACTTAACCGTAGTTCAGAAATGAATTTGAAAGGGGTTCTCTATATCCGAGATTAGTGAAAGCCAAGTGGAAGCATAATTGTGTTATCAAATTGTCTCCTAAAATGAGTAGAAAAATAACCTACACCAAGAAGGAGGAGATCTTATTAGTTTTGTCATAGATAATGTACATGTGTTCAGCTCTGTGAGGGGCCTGACAAGAAAACCTGCACAGCAGCGACTGTGACACTCACATGGCTTTAGGGCCCTGCCTTGCAGTCTGCACCTATTGCTGCAGCAGAGTCAGCCAAGGTCTCCAGGGCTCGGTGGGAGGAGTTTCCCTCAGTTTCACCCTTACAGGACAGGCTTCATATCCATGTTTAGAAATGTATTGACAGCCATTTATTTTACCAAAGACTTTTTATTCTTTAAACTTTAGAACAAGGTGTTTTTCTATTTGTCAGAATGGGCTTAGATCTCTCCAAGCAAATAGGAACCATAGTAGAGCAGAACCCAAGACCCTGACAAAATTCTCAAATTACCAAAAGCACTATAGCATTACTTTTCTTTTATAAAATGGAGAGAATATTTTACTTTCTTCCTATGATCATTTACACAGAACATTAATAAAAACAAATTATGTTATACTTTAGTCATTACTTGCATTCAATTAAATATTACTCAAAGGCATAGATAGTCTACATCCTTGTCTGTGTTCCTACTATATATTAGTCTCATATTCTGAAGGTTATTTCTCTATGCAGTGAAATTACAAATTATACATATATATATATATATATATATATATATATATATATAATGATTGAACCAGGACCTTCATGTGATGCAAATTCTCAGCACTTTTTATACTTTATTTTGAGATAGTCTCTCTGACTTGCTAAGTTGGCTAGTATGGGCTTAAACTTGTGATCGTCCTGACTCAGCCTCCCATGGTGCTGGAATTGTTGCATTTGCCACACCTGGCTACAAATGAATATAAATCTTAATCATGACATTTGTGCATAGGGAAATAACACAAAACCACAAATACTATTGTTATTTTATAAATTGGATGATTCACATAACATTCTTAGAAATTTTAAATAGGAAGATATTAGTAAATACTGTTTGAATTCTTTTTAAAAAATATTTATTTATTTATTTATTTATTTATTTATTTATTTATTTGGTACAGGGTCTCAGACTTGTAGTGCTTCTCCTGCCTCAGCCTCTCCAGTCCTAGGATTATGCGTGCAGCCTCCCCTCCTGGTTTCAATGACTGGCACAGCCACGCCCTAGGCTGGCATGGCATGCAGTACCAAGGATTGAACCTGGGTCCTTGTGTGTACCAGGCAGGCAGTTAGGCTGCTGAGCTATCTTCTCAGCCATTGAATTATTCTTATACATATTTTAAACTTACAAAGCTTTATAACCCCAGAATCAAATAATTTTCAGTTTACTACAAATATTTTATTTTTATCCAGATAAGATTCATATTTTAGCATGAATAAGTATGCTTTTAATGTTCTTCCCAGAAACTCACACACCATTGTATGCTGTTTAGCCAGTGTATGACACCTTTACTGAAGCCTAGCAATCGTCCTTAGCCAAGCCTTTGTGAAGATTCTAGAGGGAAAGGAGAGAAACAATTTTGAGGTTTTTATTCTTCTAAAATATAGATTGCTTCATCTAAATATGGGGGTATTTAAAAAACCCTTCATACTGTTTAAATTTTAACTTGCCTTCATTCACAAAAGAATTAAATGTAAGACATTTAATTGGTTGTTTAATGTATAAGTATCTATAGATACTAGTGATATAGAAAGTCAATATAAAGGCAAATGGGAGATTCTTAACTCATCTATTTAAAATT